TAATCTATTCTTAGCATAAGAAATAACGCAGACAATGTATAAGTTTATTAATTTATGTATGAATTGTATCTATAAAATATCAGAAAAATATTTCTGCTGCAGATAAATTATCTGTATTTATTTTCAAAACGACATTATTTTGAGATTGAAAGTTTAAAAAATTATAATTATAAAGACTATAATAATCCTGAAATAAATTAAAATTACAAAAATACTATGTTTTCCGTCCCAAAATGTTCTCGTTTTGGGCTTACTGCAGATAACATAACTTATCTGCAATGACCGCAGAAAAAACAAACCCATAAAATATTTCTCTCAAAGTTTATGTATGTATAATTTTCACACTTTTTTTCTTAGTGCATGAAGGAATTATTACAAATCCAATTTGAGATTTTGTCACAAATCCTCATTCACACCAAACTCCGATGCCTTGACAGCCAAAATCTATTAAATTCCAACGGGTCTTCTCCAAATTGAAGTGGGAAAAGAAGACAAAAAAAATTCTAGCTTCCGCGTTCCGCCACTAAACTTATTTTGGTATAAGCCCATTACGAATTTTTGGTGGAGCCCATTTCTCTTTTACAATTGAGGCCCAATGTTCAGTTTGGGGATAATTTCTTAAAGTTAGGCCCATTTCTTTTTGTCTCGCAGTCAACAATGAAATAAAGAGAGAAAGGCATGTTACCAAAAAAAAATTAAAAAAGACAGAAAGGCAAACGCCTATTGAATCAAAAAATGGGCTCAAAAGTGGTTGTGGTCATGTTCCTCCCAAAACTGAACTGGGCATCTCGTAAAATTTAGATTTCGTGTTTGTTCAATGTGATTAATGTTTATCATATTATGAAAAATAATTTTAATTTTTATATATAAATAAAAATGTGTAAGATTTACATTAGGATCATATGAAGGAATAAATCTTTGGTACTACTGCTGTACCAAAGATTCAGTACATCTCACCAATAATAATATTACATGTCAAATAAATTATTATTTTTTGTCAATTTTTTTTTCTCTTCTCTGATGTGTAATGCTCTCATTGCAAAGATTTATTTCATATGAAGCGGTGAGAAAAAGTTTTTTTGAAACCCATGTACTTTTATACGAGTTTAATTTAGATAAATTAGTGTATCATTATCTTTGGCATTGAATTAATGAGCTTTTGCTTTTTATTGTATTTTTTATTTTTATTTTCCCTCATTCTCTGTCACCAACTTTATTGAACTAAAGACACAAGATATGCACGATACACACGTACGGAGTTGTGATACTAACACGAGTAATGTTACTCACATAGTTATACATATTATTTGACAGCGCAGGTTATTCTTAGAGCAGTGTGAGAAAAAAAAAATTACTTTAAATCTCTGTGATTGTTTTACTTACATCTAACTATTTACATATTTATTAAATTAGAGTTGTTATATATAAATAAAATCAAAAATTAAAAGTATAACTTACATCTAACTATTTTATAATAAATGCTAACAGTTGATTGGTGGTAATCAACAGTTACGATTTGGTGTCAATTTTTAAAATTTGACACCAGCGTTAAAAGATCGTATCATATATATATATATATATGGGGTAGGATATTCTTACACCGGTGTAAGAGTTAGAAGTCTTACACTCAATCTTAACCATTGATTCACTTGTATCCAATGGCTCACATCACTAAAAAATTTGAGCCCTAAGATAAAAATGAAATCAACGGATAAGATTAAGAGTGTAAAATGATCCTGACTCTATATATATATATAGGGGAAAACATTTCTGTAGCCACTTTAGATAAGGTTGTCTACAGCTACCCTTTTTTCACTAAGTACGACCGGTCGTACATTAAAATTGCATTTTCTCTTTCCGCCACGTCAGCCGACAATGTCTGAGGAAAGAGAAAAAAAAACAATTTTATTGTTATAACTAAGTACGACCGGTCGTACTTAGTGAAAAAAAGATAGCTGTAGATAAGCTTATCTAAAGTGGCTGTAGAAATACTTTTCCCATATATGTAAAAATACTTTTCCCATATATGTATATATACTTTTCTCATATATATATATACATATATGGGAAAAGTATTTCTACAGCCACTTTAGATAAGCTTATCTACAGCTACCCTTTTATAACAAAAAGCTGTTCTTTTTTTCTCTTTTCTTGCTGACGTGGCGGAGAGAGAAAATGCAATTTTTATGTATGACCGGTCATATTTAGTTACGAAGGGATAGTTGTAGACAAGCTTATCTAAAGTGGCTGTAGAAATATTTTCTCATATATATATATATATATATATAAAGGGTTCTTTTGACTCCAGAGTAAGGATGTGTATGACAACTTTCCCAGAATCATTTTTTTAATTTCTATTCCCGGGAACATAAATGGATAGAAAACTTGTTTGGTAAATCAGTTTATTTTTTTGTTCTCGGGATGAACCGATTTAATTTTTGCGCCGAGGAATAGAAAAAAAGATCAAAAAATTTCCGTTTTTTTGTTCTCGGGCACAAAATGATAAACACTTATCTCTCTCAATCACTCTCCATCACTACCATCATCATCACCACCACCACCACCACCACCACCATCCTGACACGACCTCCGCAACCATCGTTGTCGCCGTCGTGGGACCACTAGTGTCGTTGTCACCACCCCCACCACCACGATGCCACCACCACCTCCACCCATCACTACCACCATGCCACTGTCACTACCACCACCACCATCACCACTATCACCATCATCACTACCGCCATCAACCACCACCATCGCAACCATTGCCATTACCGCCACCGCCACCTTCGTCATCATCATGCCACCGCCACCACCACCACCATTCCCACAATCACGACGCCACCGCTACCATCATCACCACTATCACCAACCCACCACTATCGTCACTGCCGCCGTCGCCGCCACCACCATCACCACCATTACACCACCCTCATCACTACCATCACCATGCCATCGCCACTACTACTACTACCGCCACCATGGCCACCACCACCAATTCCACCATCCCCACCACTATTGTCGCAGCCATTGTCGTCACCTTTACCACCATCCCCACCACTACCACCATCGCCGCCACCATTACTACCGCCATCGTCGTAGCCACTGCCGTCACAACCACCACCACTATCATCATCACGTCACTGCCACCGTCACTACCATATCGCCGCTGCTGTCACCACCATGCCATCCCCCACTGCCACCACCACCACAACCACACCATACGGAAAGGAAAGTGATGATCCAAAAATTTTATATTTAATAGGAATTATTTTTTATTATATTATTTGTTGTGTTATCAAACACAATTTTCATTCTCAAAATAAAAATAAAACATGTTATCAAACACTTTGATTTTCTCAGGAACTGTTCCAAGTTACAGAAATAGAAAAGAATTTTTTTTTTCAGAAACAGTGCTAGAGCTTATCTTAAGTGTTGATGGACGAAAATCAACGGTTGTATTATCAAACACAACTCTCATTCTCGGAATAAAAATAAAACACGTTATCAAACACTTTGATTTTCTCAGGAACTGTTCCAAGTCACAGAAATAGAAAAGAATTGTTTATTTTCAGAAACAGTGCTAGAGCTTATCTTAAGTGTTGATGGACGAAAATCAACGGTTGGGTTATCAAACACAATTCTCATTCTCGGAATAAAAATAAAACATGTTATCAAACACTTTGATTTTCTCAGAAACTGTTCCAAGTCACAAAAATAGAAAAGAATTGTTTCTTTTCACAAACAGTGCTAGAGCTTATCTTAACTGTTGATAGACGGAAATCAATGGTTGTCATTTATAATATAATTAATAATTAATTAGTCAATGTGATTCCTAAATTACAACCATTATAGGTTTCAAAAAAAAAAGTTATAACCATTATATGGATGGAAATCAAGGGCTGAGATGATGAGTAAGACTTGGAGTCAAATGATCTCTCATATATATATATATATATATATATATATATGGCTTTAATGTTTTTACGGCAAATGTAGATAAGTTATCTACATTCGCTCCCAAAAAAGATGTCGGTTTGGGTCGAAAAATTAAAATTTATAATGAAAAAGATTATTATAACCCTGAAATAAATTATAATTACAAAAATATCTTGATTTCTGTCCTAAAACGACGTCGTTTTGGACTCAATCTAGATAAGTTATCTATATTGATCGTAGAAAAAACGAACTCTATATATATATATATATATATATATATATATATATATATATATAATTTTGTAGGCTTTAATATTTCTATAATGAGTGTAGATAAGTTATCTACATTTATTCTCAAAACGACATCATTTTAAGTTGAAAAATCAAAAAATTATAATAAAAAAGACTTTTTTATGTCTGAAAATGATGTCATTTTGGGCATTATCTATATTGACATTAGAAAAAACGAACCTAATTTTATAACTCAAGAATAGGTCATCTTAACCCATTGGGTGCAGCTCAGTTGGTAACTTGGCGCTGAGTTAGTGGGGTTGGATATGTGTTCGATTCCCGCTGAATGCATTCTTGGGGAGGGGGCTGAACCTTTAGCCATCACTGTTCTCCCGCACTCCGGATTAGTCTCATAGCCGGCTCAAAGAGTCGAAGCTCGTGGGGATACTGGAGGGAGCCAACTCGTCTCAAAGAGATAATTAGGGTTGGGTAATTCCAAAAAAAGAATAGGTCATCTTATTTTATTTTTTATATACTTATAGCCCCCACAAAATTAATAATTAACTTTTGTGATTCCTTTCCTTTGAAATGAAATGATGAGGAACACACTGGTAGCAGTGCTGTAAAGGAAGAAGAAGCAAAAAGCAAAATGGAAAAAAGGAAAAGCAAACGACGTCGTGAGGATTCCCGGAACCAATGTCGGCAATGCAAGGGACACGCTATCATCGCTGCTTTTTCTTCTGTCCTTGCTCTCCCAAAACAAAAACCAAAACCATTCCCATTGTTTTCAAATAATCACTCTCACTGATCACTTCCATATCCCAATATCCATGCCGGAAATGGCCATCGATTTCCGTGCTCCGCCACCGTCACCGGTGGGCTCCGGCCGAAGATCGTCGGTGACGAACGACGACGTTCTGACGGAGTTCTTGGACACGTCACTCCGAGTCCCGGATCTGGTGTTGCCCGATAAGATATTCCCCAAACAGAAGCACCTCGAAACGCCTCCCAAGGTTGATTTCGTCTCCTTGTGTTTCCACCACGACGACGCTCTGCGCGACGTCGTTTCCGAATCCATGGCCAGGATCGGATGCTTTCAGCTCATCAACCATGGGATTCCAAAAGAACTCATCTCCTCCGCGGCGGAGGCCGCCGTCGGAATCTTTCGCATGCCGCCGGGAAAGCGATCGGCGGTAACGAGATCGCCGGATAAGCCCTGGGGTTTCGAGGAGTATCATGCGGGGGAAGAAGAAGATCAGGGAAGTGAGTTGAGCGAAGAATTCGTGTGGTGCAATGATGCTGAATTGAAGTTGAAAATGGAGGGAATTTCACCAACTCAATATCCGAATTTCAGGTTACACTATATACCCTTACTATATATGTTATTCAAATATCATTAGATCGATATTATAACTTGCTGAATAATAATTTTATATTATACATTCTCAATGTTTATCGTTGATCATACTGTTTATATCTAATTGTATTGATTTATTAGATATATGAGTGGTTAAATGCAAATAAAGGGTAAGACTTCTTATTTTTATATCGATGTAAAAATAGCTTTTATATATATATATATATATATATATATATATATATATGGGAAAAATATTTCTGCAGTTAATACAGATAAGTTATCTATATTTATTCCCAAAACAACGTCGTTTTTAATATTGAAATATTAAAAAAATATAAATATAAAGACTATTATAACCCTGAAATAAATTAAAATTACAAAAATACTATAATTTTCGCCCCAAAATGATATTGTATTGGGCTAACTGCAGATTACTTTTCTGCGGTAACTGCAGAAAAAGCGAACCCTATATATATATATAAAGGGATTTACATTTCTGCAGCTGTTGTACGAGTAGTAATCAAATACTTGTCATATATATACTTGAAAGCATTAAATGTGAGGAATCATAATCATACACCTGTTGTTGTTGTTGTACGTAAAGCAGCTGCAGAAATAATTTTACCATATATATATATATGATGGGTTCGTTTTTTCTAAAGTTGCTTTAGGCAAATTTGTCTAATGTTTACAGAAATGACGTCTTTTTGGGCATAAATCTTGGTGTGTTTGTAATTTTAATTTATTCCAGTCTTTATTATTCTAATATTTTAATCTTCAACCCAAAAATACATCGTTTCGATGAACATTAGACAAATTTGTCTAAAGTAAATTTAGAAACTTTATTCTCAAATATGATTAATGGGGTAGATTATTTTTGCACTGGTGGAAGAATAATAAATCTTACACTAGATCTTCACTGTTGATTTCCATACGTCCAACAGTTGAGATTTATTGAGTCACAATAATTAATTAATCTTAACCTTTGCATACACAAAAATAAATGGTTAAATATGATGTGATAGTTATAATTTTTATACCAGTATAAATTGATCCTATCCCATGATTAATTGTGAGTTAAGTAAATATTTCGGTCTTATATGACACGTCATATTCTAAATATATTATTTTTTGAATGTTGTTAATGTTAAATTTGTTGAACTTGCAGCGAGAAGATGGAGACTCTTATGTCACGCATAGAGATGGTGGCCAAGGAAATTTTGCCCGTGATATTGAAAAACGTTCAGAGAAATTTTGCATGTGATGCTGATGCTGATATGACTCATCATGGGCATGATCTTGGGACACTTTGTTGTGTTTACAAGCATCGCCCTGCAGATAGTTCTATTGATCGCTGGGTTAATTGTTTAAATTATGACGTGATTAGAATGCTGATTAAGGGTGCCGATTACTCTCATTCTTTGTGCTTGCATGTGTGTGATGGGTCTTCAGAGTTTCACCTTTACTCCAAGAAAAGTTGGCTCTCTTTCTGCCCAGAAGAAGGTGCCCTTATAATCACTTGTGGAGATCAAATCCAGGTTAATTTACACTTTTGCCTCTAAATTATATATATATATATATATATATAAAAGGAATTTTATTTCTGATCTCAACTTTTAGATGGTGAGTAAGATTTTATATATGTGTGTGTCTTGTATAATTATTAGTATCGTGTTGGCTATTATTTCAATTTTTCATGCATGGCAGCGTAAATTGTGAGAAAATACATAATTGTCTCAATTGACAAGGTTGACATTGCTTCGCTACAGATATTGAGTGTTGGACACTACAAGCACGTGACTGGAAGACCAATCTTTAAAAGTGAGAAAGAAGACAACATTTCAATGGCTTTCCTATATTCTACTCAAAACACCAAGAACAATTTTCAAACCAACAGGGGAAGAACTATTTCAATTGTCCAGCAAGCCATCTTCGCTATTATTCTGACCCTTATGTACCATGTCTTGATTTATGTCTACAAAAAGCTTTGATGTTGGCAAAAGACTTATGAACCTAGTGAAATGCAAAATACACACACATATTTTGAGTTTACAAACACTTGTCACTCATAGTATTGTCCATAATTACATCTTTTATTACTTGTTCACAAACATGGTACACTTCTACGCTTGTATCATGTTCGGCCTAAGTGCTAGTATCTTTTGCTTTAGTCTTACAAATTGATTAGTGTAGCTTTTCCCGCAGAATTAGGGAAGATAATCCGCATTGACACAACATGACACAAATTCAACATACCCAAATACAAATACATTCAATACGAACACGATACAAATTTGAAATCAGGTTAAAACCTTTGACACGAACATGACCCGTTTTGTGGGTTAACACAACATGAATAACCTGCAACCTCAAAGTGTGTCGCATATTATGCGGGTTGATACGACGTGACATGACACGAATAATCTGTCAAACCTTAAGGTGTGTTGCTTATTATGCGAGTTGAGATGACACAATATAACTACTAAAAAAAACTGATTTGCGACGGAATTTGGTCGTTTGTGACGAAATTTGGTGTTTGTGACGGAATTTGCGATGGATTTTGCACGTTGCAAATAAGTTTTTTTAGTAGTACCCGAATAACCTATGTATGACACGACATAACACGAACAGTGTAACACCTAAAGGGCTATTTTCACCACACAATATCTCAAGCCTATATTTAAATTTTTCTTTGGATATAATAAAATTATAGAGAGAGATTATTTAAAGTTTCCTTAGTCCTTTTCGAGAAAATTCCCAAACTATCCTCATCCACACCTGTGATCCTTCATCCTTCTTGGTAAGGACGGATTTTTGTGTCTCTTTTTGTGTCTCGTGCAATAGTCAAGTCAAATTTGGAAACATCCCCCCAACAATCCCTTCACCTTACCATCGACCATATTTGCTTGATGCCCTCATCCCGACTCCAACTCCATTTCCACCTTTTAAGGGAATACTCTTCTTATCAAAACATTCTCAAAACCTATGATGCAACTGACACGAGACACGACAGGACGACCCGTTAATTCTAAAAAATGTAATATTTTGACACATTGGGACATATTTTGATATTAAATAAAAATTTTAATATATATAATATAATTTATATTTAATACATATAAGAGTCTATAATAAGTCATATAACCAATCAAATATTTAAATTTCATAACATAAATATAAATAAAAATAATTTTTCATACTTTATTAATTTTTCATGTCAAATTTCATAATAGAAAAAAATTAATTTATAAATAAAATAAAATTAAGATTAACAAAAAAAAGCGTGTCCAAGCGTTGACCGCGTGTCCAAAAAAGTTGACTACATGTCGGAAAAACGTGTCGAAACGTGTCAAAAAGTTGACCGCGTCCCCAAATGTTAACCGCGTATCAGATGCGTGTCCGTGTCGGACACGCAAAATTTTGAAATTTTTTGTATCCGTGCTTTCCAGCCCAAAACCTACATCTTAATTGCCAAGGCAATTCAATCTTCCCTGATACATATCCCTTCGAGCATCTTCTTCCACCCACACTCATTCTATTACTTTCCCTTACTGAAATTTCTAAAAAGGCTAAACAGACATCTAGACTCCGCTTGGTGTTTGTGTGTGTGTGAATATTTCACTAGTACCCATAAGCCAACACTTCCATGACTTTCCTTTATTGTACACAAAAAGTAACAACAATTTTCAAACCAACAAGGGAAGAACTATTTCACTAGGCCGGAAAGCAATATTTCTATTCACATTGAAAGTCTTAAAAGAGTCAAGCCCAATAAGGGGAAAATCCTAGGGTTCCCTTGTGTACACTTAGAAAAGCTTTCTGGACAAGAAAATATCAGTACATTGTTTGAAAAGAACAAAGGAAAGGCAACACTTTTGTTGTTGTGAATTTTAGAGGTTGTCTTCTTCGACCTTTGATCTCTCCTTCTTCCATCGTTGGATTGAGTTGAAATTTTTTCAGCAAAGTTCTTGTGTAACGCCTCGTGGGGGGTTATACCTTGAGTCCTTGACTCATTGTTCTTCATCTTGAATGATGGATTTATTGATTGGATGTTTGAAACATCCCTAGTAATTAATCAAACCAAACAATTTTCTTACAGCAAACAACGGTCTTTTGAGAGGCACCATTAAATCAAACTCAAAATTTGACAAATGTTTCATCGCATATAATTCTAAAGTTATAAAATTTTGATTGAAGCTTGCAAGAGGGATTTGTGCGGTTGAAAAAATATGGCGTCAATATAGTTATTTGGTTTGTGGTCGTGAAATTCAAAGAGAAAGATTTCTTTAATCATTCGTTGGATCATCTTAAATTTTTATTAAAAGTATCTTTTCTGCAACACTTGGTCAATGATAACAACATCGTAGTATAATTTAATTCCCAAATGAAATTCATCATCTGAAATAATAAAAATATGGTGGTACCTACTAATTAACCGCATAATAATTATCGTTAACTGGTAGGTAGAAAATGTGACAAACTCGTGGAGAAAAAAAATTGTGATTGATCCATGAACATCACGATTTTACTTGTTTCAAATATGTCATTACTGTAAAAGTTAAATTGAATGCAAATGCCACAAAAACTTGGCCTATTTTCTGCTCTTTTTCATAAACTCTGGAAAAATATTTGTAAACCAAGATAATCTATTATTTAATTTTGTCTAGAAGATCAAACTCATGAATACAGCATAAACGCTTCACCAACAAAGGTGATGTTGATTCTTCACTGTATACAATGCGCCTCCAAAATGAACAAAGATTTAGGTGCAATAACAACAAATAAATACAGGGGAGAAAATTATCAACATCAACATTATTTTTATTTCAAATTAATCGGGTCAGTGATTATTAAGTTTATAAAAAGTGACACGAAACATACGTACCAAGCTTTTCCTTCAATTTTACTAAACAAGTAAATGTATAGTTTTTTTTAATCTTCTGTTATAAATCTTGTAGATAGCTCAAGTACTCCTTGGGTAAGCTTTGAAATCCTAAAAAAAATATATGATTGCAAACAGTAGGGATGATAATTTTAAACTGTAGACATGGCAAAATACAACACAAAATCTTTATGTTTGTGTCGATCAATATTTATGTTTATGTCAATCAAAAACTGATAAGGAAATTTTTTTTATCCTTTTTGTGTTCGTGTTGACCTTCAATTAAACCGTTTAAATTAAACATATGCGTAATTACTTATTTACCCCTTCCTAAACATTTTTATTTGTTAATTTTAGATAATTTATATAATTTTCATTCAAAAAGTAAAATTAATGAATTATTCATGTCGTGTGTGTCAGCTAGCGTAATAAACAAATTATGATAATGTCGAGGGTTATGAATAGCAATTCATGTGATGTTTCGGTCAGGATATCCTTGTTCTTGTCAAATTCGTCTTGACTCAAATACAATCTGCCAACTTAAATTGGCGCCCTTAGTTGCTGGGGCAAAATTAGAATTAATTCTGTTTTTTTGGAAGGGGTCAATACTATATTAGGTATGATAAGAACATAACAAATAAAAAAATAGGAACTTTTGTGTATGAAATTATATAATTCCACAAAAATATAGTTGCAAAATGTGGTGATATGTATATAAGAATATAACTAGTAGCGCAAATTAAATTCATTTCTATTCATTTTTTATTCAATAAGTAAGCCACATGGAAATAGTTCATATCTTAAGGAGATACAACTCAAAAAAAATTCAATTGGCACATGCTCGAGCCCCTTGGCATAATAGATAGTTTTCTGAGAACACTATACTTTTTCTCTAGGTCTAGGTCCAACATAATATCAGTATTAATAATCATTGTCTTCAAAACATGTCCTGTTCGTAAAATATACCCAGCAAATGCGAGCTCGTCTGCAAATCCTTGATATCCTCTAAATTGAATAAAGGTCAGGTGTGATTCAACACAATTAGGAACACTTATTGGTTGCACCCAGCTTCGTAAAGGTGATGGTTCCTGGTCACAACAAGGAACAACACCGCTCATAAGATGAGAGCAGAGAAAATATATTCATATAGGTCAAAGCTTTAAATTTGAAAACTCAACAAACCCTCTCATTACGAATCTCAAGAACTTGAAGCATATGACATTTTTGAAGCAAGTTCACCAGAAAACTCGAGTTGAAAGATGGAAGAATGATCTCCAGACGAAGTAAGAAATGAAATTCTGGAAAGTCTAAAATAGGAGCACGAAGTAGCCACTGCTTGCACAACCCAACAATTATATAACATTAGTACATGGTTATTAAAAAAAGAGTTTGATGTTTTTGATGTTATACCAAATAAAATTATCTCGTACACACGTATGGACCATAGGAAAAGAAGAGAAAAAAAAAATAGACCCGCATACTTTTATGTGTGTATAAGATATAATTTTATCTCCTATAATATAACTAGAGGTGGCAAAACAGGCTGCCCGCCCCGTCCCAGCCCGCCAAAAAACTGGCTGGCCCGCCCCGCCCCGCCCCGCCTTTGAAGGTGGGCTAGAAATCTCAGCTTGTCAAGCCCGTTACATTTTACACTAAAAATTAAAAAAAAATCAGCCCAAGCGAGCTGACAGACTTGGCTTGGCGGACTTGACGAGCAGCAAGTTTGAAAAACTCAACTCATCTCGTCCCGTTTGGCCGGCGAGGCGGCCCGGCCCGGCCCGGAAGGCTGAGCCAATTTTGCTAGCTATAAACATAATAACATGCATTCAACCCTTAAGGGGCCGTTTGGTACACGGATTTTTTCCGTCCCGGAAAATTGAAATTTTTAAAATTTTAAATTTTTAGATATTATCGTAAACTGAATGTAAAATTCATATTTTTAAAAATTGAGATTCCCGGACAAATAAAAATTTCTCGTATACCAAACACCAGCTAAAAAAAAACAAAGAAAACGTTAGTAATAAAACATCACCTTTGTTGTTAAATGATGCAACACTAGAGATTTTGTTCCACATAGAGCTTGGAGTAGGTTGATCAAAACATTGGAAGATTCACCTGTTGCGTAGACATCAAGGTACGCATCCACCACACTCTGCAAATTACGAATTGAGCAAGGGAAAAACCTAGCCTTTTGAGTAATGCTTAGGTACTCAAGACCCGGCGCGTCTATTTCAAGGTAAATTCCAACGTCATTCTCAACAGCAAACGTCATCCTCTTTAAGGAACAGGGGACACGAAATTCGGTCAAGCTTTGAGAAGCAAAAGACAAATCCAGAGTTTCGAGAGCAGGACACCCAGAGAGAAGGGTATCAATGGAATCCACAGATTCAATGTCCATACGCAATACCTTTAACGATGGCAAATGAACCGTAGAAGGTTGTTGCACGTGGATTCCACCGCACAAACTCAATGACACAAGCTTGGTGCAAGTGAAGAGTGTGCGAGGCATCACGAAGCACTGTCCACCATTGGAATTTAAGGTGAGCCGCAATTCCTCCAGGTGGGGCCCAATGGCGGTTCGAACCCATGTAGACACTGAGATGGCATAAGACGGATCCGAGTGCGCGTAACCACACGAAAGATATAACCTTTGAATGTCGCGAGCCTTGCGCAAAGCTAGGACCCCATTCACGAAAACAGCAAATCGTTTAAATAATTCGAACTCTAGGTAGAACTCGTGTGAATCATCGCAAAAGTTTTGACTTGGAGATGTTCCCAAATGTGGCACCATCTGCGAGACAAAACACTCGTGGCCACAGAGGTTTTTGTTGGGAGAAATGATAAGATATGACACAACACTGAGTCTGGTAGATTACTAATCCTGTCAATGCCTGTTGCTGCATTTTCTACTGTATTCTGCCGTTTGAAGGTTGATTCCATTATCATCGAGTGTACCAAATTCTAATTTTTTGAGACACCGACCATGAAGAACTAGACTTCGATCTTTTGGCTTATATAACACAGTACACAAGAGATTGTAAAAGATTCAGAATCGAGCAATATAATATAAATCAAATTTAACATTTACTTCTGCATTTATATACTTTTAATGAATGTATTTAATGTCGGTGAATAAATGTATTGAATGCCGATGAATAAATATCTGTTAGAATTCTTTTTTACTTTTTGATTATATAATGTAAATAGAGGAAAGACCACTTTATAAGACAAATTGCTCAGCTTTTCCCCATCAATTTATATAATTATTTTCGCATTTCGTTTGATTCAATAAATAAAATAAAGATAGAAAGACTCAAAGAGTGCGTGTTAAAATTTGTATTCTTTAAAAAAAAATCAAAATAATATGTCAATAATATTATTATAAACCAACGGATTATCGCTTAACTTATATTCTAATTCTATTACGTTGTGATGTTTCCCTCGTGAATGAAGATTTTTTTTTAGCAATAGCATTTATCTGTTATTTTTTTTTTTTTTGATACATTGAATCTGTTATTTGTTATGATATTATGAGAAAAGTTTAAAAAGTCCCTATGGTTTTATTTTAAAACATTTATATCTTTACTTTTTTAATCATTTAATTACCCCTATAGTTTTTTGTATTGACACACATCCTAGAAACTTAACTAATATACTTATTTTACCTTATTTAGAATAAGACATGCCAACAAAAGAAAAAAATAAAATAATAAATGTTGAAAACTTACAACATTTACATAAAAGACCAAAAGTAAAAAAAAAAAAATAGAAGAAAAAAAATTAAATATGTTGAAAACTTACAAAATTGACAGAAAAGATTAAAATAAATGAGGGAATACTCTTACTACAAAAAAAAAACCATTATTAATCAACCCACTACCTATGTAATCATCATCAATCAAAAGAGAGAATGCTGAAAAGTTTCTGAAGAAAGAGAAAATGCTGATCCAATGATAATTAGATAGGTAGTGGATTGGTAGTAGGTATTTTTTGGTAGTAAGAATATCACATTTCAAAATAAAATAATAAAATTAATCTAAATAAAAAAGAAGAAAAAAGATTGGAAAAAAAGGAAAAAAATATAACAAAAAAAATAGAAGAAAAAAAATCACTATTATAAATTTCCACGATATTTAATTTTATCTTTCTTCTATTTTTTTAAAATAATAGTTTCCTTCTATTATAAGTATGACAGCATTGACACTGGCTCACAAACTCTCTCAGATATAGAATTGAGAGATCCTTTACCAAAAGAATAAAATAAAAAAAATTAAGAGATTGATATTCGAAGCTATGGAGCTAGTTAATTAAGATTTTATATTATAATTATAAAGTTGTGATTTAATTATGATGTTTTAATATTCATGCACACAATAAAGTTAGAGTCTAAAACCTACCAACAAAATTAATTGACATGTTATCTCTATATATATACATTCAACAATAAAAAGTAATGCATCAAAATATATAAAATATTTAGTAAATGTAATAAATTTTTCATAAATAAATCATTTCAAAACAAGTCTTTACTGAATAGTATATTTATTTTTTTATAAAAAAAATATATATTTATTTTCAGAATTTTTCTGCGCATTATACTTTTACCAGTACTTTTGCTTCAATTATCAGTTTTTAAGTGATACTTTGTGGTTTAATACTAATTACTCAAGCATGTATTTTCAATTTTACATTCTCTAATATATTAAACTTAATTAGTATTTGTTATACTTTGTAAGTAATTACGATTTAATACTAACAATCTCATGCATGAATTTTTTTCTCAATATTTTATTTTCGATGCATTAAACTTTCATCAATGGTCACTTTGTAAGCGATGTTTTATTATTTAATGCTAATAACCTCATCAGATGCATTTTCATCACCGCTTTATTTTTTTAAGCATTAAACTTCCACCTATCATTTATCAAGCATCAATTTCTAGGTTACAATTAACTTCATCTCATCTTTAATTTTTAAGTTGCACTTTCTTACTTTTCTAAAATATTTTATTGTTACGAAGCAATGAACCAATTGGAATATTTTCAAAAAAAAAAATTTATTGTTTAATTTTTTTGGGCTGGGATCTGTTATATATTCAATGGACAAGATATTCTTACACTGGTATAAAAATTAAATGTCCTACACCAAATCTGAATCATTGATTTACTTGTATATAAAAATTCAAATATCTAATAAATCAGAACTGTTAAATATAAATAGGATCAACGTTCAAGATTGTAAGTATAACTTACACCAGTGTAAAATGATCTAACATATATATATATATATATATATATATATATATATATATATATATATATATATATATATAAGACAAGATCCTTTGACATTAGTGTAAAATTTTGAAATTTGACATCAAATTCTAACCGTTGATTGATGGAAATCAATGATTATAATTTTTGCCAATCAAACTCATTAATTAATTATTAATTTTCAATAAATGATAATCGTTGATTGACGAGAATCAACGGTTAAGATTTGATGTCAAATTTCAAAATTTAACACCAGTGTCAAAAAATATTGTCCTATGAAAATACATTATTGCAAAAAGTTATGGTAGTGTCTTAAAATTCATAAAACAATTTTTTATCTGATGGAGAGGCATCATAGTTCTCTTTTATAATAATTGATTAATAATATATTCAATGCGTCATACATTCAATGCATTCAATATCATAAGTAAATAGTATTTATTGACGGTGACGTTTTTTTTTTTTGGAAACATACAAGAGAAAAGGAAACTGCCTAGCTACTCTGGGTCTCTCAAAACCCATCTTATCCTTAACTAAGAGATCATTACAACCATTAGGAGGATATTGGCTTACAAGGATATCATTCTTAACTAATAGAGCTTGGTGTGCCATCCAGTCGGCCACCATGTTACCCTCCCTGAAAGTGTGACTTAGTTGCAGGTTCCAATTCCGCCAAATAAGATCTCTCACTTTAATTCCAATAGGAGCCAGCGGGTGATCACTCCTACCATCACATGAGAGGAATCTCCTTCCAAAATGATGCTTCTAAATCCCCCTTCCCAAGCTAATTTCAAACATGTTAAAATGCTCCATAGCTCAGCTCTAAGGGAATGGCCCTGTCCAAGATTCTTTGAAAAACCCAAGACTCATTCTCCTTTGTAGTCTTTAATCACCCCACCACAACCAGAATTCCACCCTCCCAAAGTGTAACCCCTCGTTCTAGAACCGGTTTGTTATCATTACGTACGGCATTAAACGCAGTTACAAACACCAAATTGAATTAAAATACAGATATATTTTTTCCTTTTTATTTATAAACGTTTTTTATTAAATCAATTCCGTACATAAAACAATTCCCATAAAGTGAATGTAACTTAACTACATGTGGAATTATTACTGTAGGTCTCACTTTTATTGCTTTTCATCCACCCTTTATTTATTTAAGAAAATCCTATTCTACTATTATAGCCCCCATTTTTCAAAAATGTGATAGGATTCTTCATTAGCTAAACGTGGGTTCAAACCACACTCAAATCGGAACACCGTAGCCCAAGCTACGCATCTACTTTTCGGTAGCCCAGAACGGAAGAACTCCATAGTTAAACGTGCTTGACTTGGGGCAATTCTGGGATGAGTGACCTCCTGGAAAGTTTTTCCGGGAAGTGTGCGAGTGAGGACAAAGCACGCTGAAAAGTCTCGTGTTAGTGTGTGGGGACAGTCGTTAATCCTTGCAAGTTGCCAGGCGTTACAAGTGGTATCAGAGCAGGGCCTCTCTTCCAGTACGGTGTGGTTCGAGGACGAACCAGGCGGAAGCTGGTGGGCATGTAACATCCCAGGCACTGACGAGGGCGGGGAGTGATCGCCGGTGCAAAGAGGCACGGACAAGGAGCGACTCCTGACAGGCTTCCAGCGGGGGGTTACATGCATGAATGAATCGAATCGACACCCGAAAGAGAGGGATTCCAAAGGCTGTGCAGGTATAAGGCTACACAGTTTAGGATAGCTTATAAGAATTAATTGGTACTATCTATGCTAACAAGATGCATCTGCTTTTCGGTAGACCGGAACAGAAGAACTCCATAGTTAAGCGTGCTTGACTTGGAGCAATTCTGGGATGGGTGACCTCCTGGGAAGTTTTCCCGGGAAGTGTGCGAGTGAGGAAAAAGCACACTGAAAAGTCTCGTGTTAGTATGTGGGGTAGTCGTTGATTCTTAAAGCGGCCAGGTGTTACACAAAGAGCTTGCTCCATCTACTTTAAGCTTCAACCACCCAGGAGGAGGAGGGTTCCATTTTATCGTCTGCATTTGGCAAGGTTGTTGGATTAACCTTCCTGCTGACATCATATTTTTTGTTGTTAAGTAACTTTCATAATAACAAAGGATGCTACGGATGCTTCTTTGAGTATCAGGCTGAACCCTATTGAAGACATAACCATTCCTTTCTCTCCATAAAAACCAGCAACATATACCAAAAAGGAGATCCCACTTTTTGATTCTTGAACCAATATTATCCTTTTAAATGTTTTCTTCAATCCAAGCCCTTAATGGCTTAGTGCATAACAGTGACTAACTAATCGGAAGAACCAGGGCTTCCCAAATTTTTTGGGACCAAATGTAGTCTCTGATCGCATACAAGGAGCTCTTTAGGTGGCTTTGACACTGAGAGCATAGGTTAGATATTGCAAAGTGTCTATTGAATCTGCTTTGATTTGTCATCAGATCATCTCCCATCAAGAGCCAAAGGAACGTTTAGGCTCTGCTAGGACCATCCCTTTTCCAAATGATTTTCCAGTTGAAGCTTGGTTGAACAACTTGAGGGCTCCTTAACCCATTGTAAGCTGATTTTACAGTAAAACAACTATCATTAGTGTCAGCCCAACAAACCCGATCCTCCCCATTATCCTGATTTGCTGGCATAATGCTATCTATCAGTTTACCTACTTCAGGGTTGATCCAATCCTTCATTTTCTGCCAATCCCAAGTACCATCATTCTTAACAAATTTTGAAATTTTTTCCTAGAAAATGATCTATGGAATATCATCAGATATTAGCCGTTGGAGACTATCCACGTTCGGAATCCAGGGGTCTAACCAAAAACAAGTTTTTTCACCATTGCCCACAATGATTTTTGATTGGGCCTTAATCTATGGCCAAACTTTAACAACTCTTTTCCAAAGACTGGAGCTGTTGGAGGAAGCTTTGATTTCAGGAATTAAATCATTTTCCATTTAGTATTTGTTTTTGAGGACTTGAACCTAAAGAACATCATGTTTGGTGAGGATCCGATTTAGTATTCTTATTGACATCTCTCATTGATTTAAAACACTCTTATTTTTATTATTTTTCAAACGTTCATAACCTTCGCCGTTTTTATTGACATCTTATTATTATTATTATTATTTCTTTTTGTTATTTAAAACACTCTAATGTTTATTATTAATAGTCACATCTTTAATAATAATGTATTTTCGTATTAGATATTTTTTTTTATATTTAGTTTTTTATTTTCTTACAATTATCATTATTAATTGCTTATTAATAAGCATAAAGATAAATTCAAAATTTAATATTACAAATATACTATTACACAGTTTAAAGAAAAATACAAAACAATATGTTTATGAACATTTTTTATGTTTCACTTCATTTTATTTTGTGTAACTAACATTCATTTTAAATACTATTTATCACGACTGATCATTAATATATAAGATATTGCTTGATTATTTTCTGAAACAGCTTTTAACAATTTTTGTGTTTGTTATTTTTATACTTTTTGCCAACATATTCGGTAATCAGATAAAAAATTGTTTTATGAATTTTAAGACATTACAATAACTTTTTCCAAAAAAATTGTAATATTTTTAATTGTTTAAAGATTAATTCAAAACATTTGAAAAATAAAAACCATTTTTCATCAAATTAATAATTTTTTCAATCATTTCAAATATCTTTCAATAGTTTAATAAAAGCGATTCTTATAAACAAGAGGTAGGTTATACTTACAACCTTTTTTTCTGCAACCTCTTACAACTATATCTTAACACCGTTGATTTCCGCCAATCAACGGTTACGATTTTCGCAAATTAAACTCATTAATTAATTATTAATTCACAATAAACGATATCCGTTGATTGGCGAAAATCAACAGTGTTAAGATATGGTTGTAAAATGTTGTAAAAAAAAAGTTGTAAGTATAACCTTCCTCTATAAACAATTTAAACAAATATATTTATTGTTAAGCTCTTTATGAATTAAGGTATATAAACATGGAATCATGTTTCTCCATTGTTACATGCAATGTTATTAAATCCATCCCGGTTATTGACCCGGTCGAGGTACTGGGTCACCGGTTCAACCAGTGGGTCACTGGTTCAACCGCATGACTCAGTAAGTATATGTAAATCTATAATTTATATTAAAAAACTATAAATATACTTAAATACTTGTAAAAAAATATACCAATTTCAAATTTTTTAATATGAAAATAATAAATTACACATCATTGTCCAACAAAAGATTAATCAAACATATAATATTTGTGATAGTAGTGTTTCAGGTTCAGTAAACGACATCTCTAACTATAAATCAAATCAAAGTTCTGCATATTGCATAATCAGGACAATATTAGTGTTGTAGCTACATAATCTATTTAAGTTAATAAGCTACAAATCACTCAAATATTTCAAAAGAAAACAAATCATTTGTGTTTGAGAGTGAAAAAAAAGCAATTAATTTATGAAAATAAATTAGTTTTTTTTTTTATAAACCGGGCCGGGTCACCGGTTTTTACGAAAATTGACCGGGTCGCACCGGGTCACATCGGTTCTGTAACATGGCCGATCCAATATGAAAAACAGACCGGTTACATGACTGGTTCACCGGTTTCCGGGTCGACCCGGCCGGGTCGATCCGATTTTTATAACATTGGTTACATGACATAAAATTATCTGTTGTAATATATTACAATCCCAAAACAATATCCTTATGAGATTGAAAATGAAAAATAAAAAGTATTTTAATAAAATATATAATAATAAAATTTTAAAATATCTTTTATTTTTATTTTAAATCATAAAATTACGTGGTTTTGACATTTATCTGTATGAGAAGGAAAAACACTTTTCTTTATAAATATGAGAAATGTTATACTTACAACTTATTTTCTTTACAACCTCTTACAATCATATATCTTAACTGTTGATTTCCGCCAATCAATGATTATCATTTATTGTGATTTAATAATTAATTAATAAATTTAATTTACAAAAATTTTAAGCATTGATTGACAAAAATCAACAGTTAAGATATATGATTATAAGAGGTTGTAAAGAAAATAGATTGTAATAAACATATTACTAATTATATATTGACAGAATCAAATTTTGTTTATTTACTTACAAAAGATAATCCATCCATCAACTCTGTATGATGTGCTTTTACTTTTCAGTTTTCAGAGTTAGCAAATTGGGTCGACCCAATACCCAAAAGCCCGACCTTCCAACTCGCCCTATTTCGTTATAACCCAACCCGTACCTGGTTAAACGGGTTATCGGGTCCTTTTTCCATCGTTAATAAATTCTCATATCAATTGAATTTGCACGATTTCTAGGGTTTTGTTCTCTTTGCAGCGATGGATAATAAGTCAAGTACAACCAAATCTTCAATCACTAAGCTCTCTGTGGACGAGGTAGGTAATTTCTGTGTTTATGTATGCACTGTCATTACATATTCCAAAATTTATTGGCTAACCCTAACCCATGCACTCTTTTCATCTACATTCATAGATACTGGAATTGGAAAGAATGTACATCGAGATGGGAGGAAAAACACTTGATCGGAATTTCTGCAAGAAGATTGCTAAAAGTTTTAGGTGAACTAATAAGTCTTTTCTTAACAATAACCTTAAATAAATAGGACTATCTGTTCTTCTTCTTTTTTATCATGATAGTTCATAACCTTAAATAAAAGTTTTAGCTTTAATTTTTTTTTTGTAGTTCCTCATCAGAACATGCCGGTATAACTTCCTTATCATGGAAACAGGTTGTTGCTATAGCATTTTATTTAATCTTTAGACACATTTTGGTATTTATGCTGAGTATTTAATAAATGCTGCGTTGGTTTTACTTTTACTGGGTTTTAGGTGCATCAGTGGTTCCAAAATAAACATAAAAAGTCGCAGGCTGAAGATACTTCGTCACCAGAAGCGCTGAAACTATCTGTTGATATTTCAGATACATCTAATTTAAGAAAAGAACATAAAAGCTTTCCATGTACTGAAGGTTGTCATTTTTTTTTTTCTGTTTAGATTTTTTTATTGTGGCTGTAAATTTGGGAATAAAAGAAAAAAAGTCTCTGGATGGGAATTGGATGGTTTTTCCCGTGGTTTGAACTTTTGGCTTTACAGAACTAAAGCATTGAAACACGTTTAGCATTTAAATTCACCATGATTTTAAAGCCATTTGCTTCAAGCCTACTGATTTATATCACGTTGTCCTTCCTTTCCTTAGGGAACAAAGGGTTTGCCTGATTTGGGTTAAATGCTCTTAGATACAACAACAGAAGCTTAATATTTGGGAACAAAATGCTGCTTTTCTCATGTCAGGTGAATTTGGCTTTAAAAATTTCACGTTTTAATTATAATTTCTGATCATAATGTCAGGTGAACAAGTTGCAGATATATCGGAGTTGACATTTGAAGCAAGATCTTCAAAAGACTCTGCATGGTGAGGAATATTCTTCTGATTAAGCACAGCTGTGTTTTGAGTCTAGCCATAATATGCTATGTATGTGGAATTGTTAAAACATTTTGGATTATATGAGAATTATAAGGTGTATTTTGATTTTTGTTTGTGGCACTCCAATCATAACAAGATTACAGATGCGAATTGTCTTTCCCCCCACCAACTATTTGTTAATTTGTTAATTTGACCCCCAAACCCCCTCTACTTTCCATAAAACAGAATGCCTTTATTGTTAATTTGTTACAATGCTGTGCGTCCAACATCTGATATTTCTTTGATTCTCCAAATTACAGGCATGATGTTGCAATGTTTCTTAACTTTAGGGTCTTGAGCAAAGGCGAACTTGTAAGATTCTTTCATATTCTAATTAATGTATTTTTAGTTGTTAAGAAACTGAGATATTTTCTTTGGAACTTGTAATCATAGAAGTGGTTGTTCCTTTCTTGCCTGCAATACTTGCCTGATTTTACTTAAAATATCTATATACAAGTTGCTGCTCAATTATTACTTGTTTGAATAACATTGATGCTATATTTTTTTTTGTTTAATGGAAAACATGATGTAAGGATTACTTCTCTTGGTTTGTTCTTGCAACACAATGGTTGACTATGAAGCTTGAATTTTCTTGCATTGAAAATTGCATGTTACAGCGCAATAACCCATATAAACAAAGGAGTGCAAAAAATGGGGAAAATCTCTGTTAGCAATATAAACAAAGCAGTGAAAGGTGAAAAGATAGGGAAGTCTAGCAACTCGAGGCAAGAGCCACCAAAAAACAATTGCTTAAGTGAAATAAGGAACTAAAGTTGTGGAATTGAAAAAAAAAATATTGACAACAAATGAATTTAATCATTGTAACATTATTTAGCATATAATTATTTACTCAAGCATGACATTAATATAAAATGATTAAATAATCAAAATAAAGTATGATAACTAAAAAGTCAAAATGGTTCAATTCTCAACCAAAAAATAAAAAGACGCACCAGCCCTTAATTTAATAACCAAAGAGATAAACAGCCTTAAATAGCCATAAGCAGTAAGCAAACCTAAATTCATAAAAAACAGAAAATAGAGCTAGAGCTCATCAATGGAATCATTGGATTGAATTCCGCTATTTACAATTGACAATTTGACATCACTTTCATATCATCCTTGATTGGAATTATATTCTTCAACATCTTTTGTCTCATATGAAGCAGCTTCAGTCTCTTCATTATTAGGAACTGAATATGAGCCTTTGGTTGATGACTTGTTGAGCTGCTCGAGTTGGATTTTTTTGGCTTGGACCAGCTTTTCTAACTTGATTCTCCTCTTTATCTCTAATTTGGTTTCGTTACAAAACTCTTAAGTCACTGAATTTTCTTTTCTCTTCTCCCCTCCTCCTGCCCATGTAGGCTGTTCACATCTTACTAATTACCGTCTTGTTCCCTCTTTGAAAAACTGTGTCTGTTGTCCATATAACTCTGCCACTAGCACTCGACTAAAAGGTAAACAAGCATGGGTGAAACTTTAGAAACCCACATACATTGACTTTATCCTTCATGCTTATACCATTCGTTTTCTGTTTTTGGGTTTTATTAGAATAACAAGTGATTTAGAATATTCTTCCCACTAAATTCAAATGTTATTTGGAAGCTGAGATTTACTTGTATTTGAATCAATGCATAGTGTTCCAATAAGATCCTTTAAACTACATCTTGTATATAAATTCATGCTATTTTTGGGATATTTTCCTTCATTGGAAAAGAATGGGAAAGTCAGAAAAATGACTATGCAACTTATATTTCTACACCTATGAACATTGTAAGTTATGCTGCCATCTTGTGATAGCTGTACTGTCTTAGTGGATGCATTTATTGGATATTGTGGATAACCAGTTGAAGTTAATGGATCTTGTTACACAAATTAAGGAAGTTCGCGTACGATATTCTGGATTTGGTAAGGAGCAGGATGAGTGGGTAAATGTGAATCAGGAGTTGCGTGTGAGATCCATCCCATTAGTACCTTCAGAATGTCATAAGGTGAAGGATGGAGATCTTATACTTTGTTTCGTGGTAAGTGATCCCTAGCCCTTTTATTCTACTTCAATTTATCTGCATATGTTGAATCTGTTTGTCATGTGGATGACTTTTAGCTACTCCCGAACTTTCCTAACTATTAGAACTCATTTGGATATTAATTGGTTTTTCACAGGAAAAAGATGATTATGCCCTCTATTGTGATGCTCGTGTTGTAGAAATCCAGAGAAGGTTACATGATCCAACAGAGTGTACGTGCATCTTCATTGTCCGATATGTCCATGACAACACTGAGGTGATATTTGATTCCTTTTTTCCCGTCCCCAATACCCTGCCTTGGATTGAGCTTCATGCTGTCAAATTTTTGCTTTCTTTGGGCATTCGTTACGTAGATCCTTCGATGTTAGTTATGCCTGATGTTGTTTTATATGCTTGTGCTAGGAAGTAGTTTCTTGGAACAGGTTATGCTGTAGGCCTACGCAAGAGGAACCTGTGGTCTCCCCGATGCCCATCCAAAATCCTATAGAGAGCTTATGGGGATGAATAGAGCCAACTTTTCTTTCTTTCGTGTTTCCCATCGTCCATGTATGGTTTTTGAGCCTCGATTATCGTAAATATTGTAGAAGTTTATGTATATTTATGTTGGTTTAACTGTTTAATATTGGATTCATTTTTAAGAAATAAAATTCTTTCGAAAATCTTGTCAAAATTAAAATTAACCAGCCACAAGGATTTTTAAAAAAATGATTCCAGAGATGCTCTGGGTGACAATTTGTGAACTTAAAATTAAATTTTCAGAAAATCTTATTTCTCTTTTTTTTTTGTGGTTTTCATTTCCAAATTCAAACTTACTCAATTTATTATTTTTTGAATAATAGTGCTTGTGCGGTTTTATTTAATTTTTAAGGGTGAGTCGTGTTTTTAAGTTTATTAATCATTTGCATTATTTATTTAACGGTACTTGTTCTTAAAATTGTCAAATTAGATTTTTTTTACGAAATTGACTCCCAAATTTAATTTAATTTTCAAAAGATCAGATATTATTTATGATAAAGTGATTTTTCAATGTATTTCTAAATTAAAACTTAGTTGCAAATCCATTGCAATTTTCTTCGTTGAGTTGTGACATGTTTGTTTCGCCTTTTTTGGTCAAATATTTCTTGTTAGTTAGCGTGTAAGATGTTAAGATTCATGCTAAGAAAATCCTAGCAATTTGGAAGGTCTATATTTTTTGTCTATCTTATTTATAATATAATAAATATTAATTGTATTATAGATAATAAGAAAAAATATTATCTCATATCCAAATAATAAATAGGAGAGAAAAAAAAAATTAAAAGAGAGAAAAAATTCTTGTGGAATCATTTAAAAAGTAGGAGATATTTTTCTTATGTAACATAAGAAAAATATTATTCTTATATTATTTAATAAAATCATGGGTTTAAATTCAAGAAATAACAACTGAACAAAAATGAAAGAGTAGAATTATGTATAAAAATTTCTTCATTCTTACCTTAGATTTTTTGTAGTTATTTCTTTGTTTTATGTAAGAAATGAATTAACTAAATATTATATAATCTACAAATATTGATCTAATGAAATTTCTTTATGATGCAAATACGAAGTTCTTACTATTATTTCAATAACATCAATCACTTTAAATAAATTTTTTTAAAGTTAACTTAATTCTAATTATTTCTTTAAGGCGAGTTAACTCGATATCTCTACAAATTTTGATTCTTCGAGAGACTAATCTGAAGTGTGGGGTGGGTTAAGAATAAAGATATTTATACCCTTCCAAAAATAGCATATGAGTTTTTTTTTCTCACTTATTCAGCTCCTTTACAATCAACAGATAGATATTTAAATAGGCCTTTTATCTTTAAATGTATACTGTACATAATTAAGTTTTTGAAAAATTTATCAGTCCACCTTACATGCCTAATAGGCAGGCTTTTTGAAAAGTCATTGATATAGTTTCGATGAGCTTATACATTACTTTTTTTAATGTATTTTTTCACAAATTAAAGATATTTTCATTTGTATGAAAAAACATTTTAAGTAAAAAAAATTTAAAAATATTTTTTCTCAAAACAACTTTTTTTTATTAAAAAACTGCGTTTTGTTATTTTTTTATAAGGATGTTGAGAGACAAATATATTTGTGAATATTCAAATATCATATTTGACTCAAAGAGGCTAATATTCTAATATGATTGACAAAAAAACTCACTGACTCCTTTTGCCTTAACATTTATTCAAATATCAGTTAATCACACGTTTGGTCATCACAGACCACAGCCATTTAATATTTTCAATTTACATATATCCTTGTTTTGGATCCGTCAATTAAAAATCTTTCCATGATCAAAGAGTGTAGATTGTGGATAGCCTCCACATAAAACCCAATACATATATCCTTGTTTGGGATCCTCCATCAATTAACAATCTTTTCATCAAAGAGTGTAGATTGTGGATAGCCTCAGCATAAAACCCATTACATGTCATATCCAAACTACACTCATTTTATAAAATAACAATTCAGAACTCTCTGTTTGTTTATAAAAAAAAAAAAGAACTCTCTGTTCTTATGGGTTAATGTCATTCTCACAATGAAAGTTGAGTGAGAGTGTGACAGAGAAAATCTGTTAAGTGGTAAAAGATAGAGGAAAGGGAAACATAGAAGTGTATTTGGAGGAATGTATTAAAATCAATTAAAAAATTGAAATATTATATAAAAATAATAATGTCATTAATTTAAAATAATATCTAATTCTATTGATTTTAACTTAGTTTAGTTTAACTTCTTTCATCTCCTTTGCTAGTTCTTCTATATATTTTAATTATTGTATGTTATATATTAAGTAAATTGGCATCCATAATTGTGGGTGATTTTTATTGGGGCATTATTATTATTTTTTAAACATTGACAAATTAATTTTATTTAAATAGTGAGATAAGAATAAGTTTTAATAGATTTTAAAATATTTTTTTGAAATAAAAAACCCTACCAATTTTAATAAATTTATAAGGAAATTATGAATTTACAAAAAAATTTGAAAAAAAAATTACAATCAAGATTTGATAAGAATGAAATTTAAATTTTTTTAATAAAATTTATAAGATTTGAAAGGATAATATAAATTTACAAGATTTTAAAAAATCATAAATTTTTAACAAAGATAAAAATATCATGTAAAAAAAAGACAGTGTTATTGCTTGAAGGAAAAACAAAGATAAAAATATATAAATATCATGCATATATCATTTAAATATCAACAATCTTCATGAAAATATCAACAAACTTGTTCATGTCTGCTGCATTTTCTTTTATATTCTGCCGTTTTGAGGTTGATTCCATTCTTATCTTGTGTACCAACTTCTGATTTTTTTTTTTTGATTACATCCGGATATCCTCACCGCCGATAGTCATGAGACTAATCCCTCGTCTCGGATCAGCGCACAAAGCGGTAAAGAGCTGGCCATGGAATGCTTTCCATTCACAAGAGTTGGGGTTCGAACATCCACTTGCTTAAGGGACGAGATGCTGAACCATCACGCTCACTCACGTGGCTCCAATGGCTCCAACTTCTGATTTTTGAGACACGACTATACGAAGAATTAGTGTTTGATCTTATGGCTAATATAACACAATACACATGCACCGAGATTTTAAAGGATTCAAAATCGAGTAATATAATATAAATCAAATTGAAAATTTATTTATGCATTTATATACTTTAATGAAAGTATTTATTAGCACATCAGTTAAATTTCCATCAATATTATCTTGGAAGGGGTATAAGACTTTAATTATTGATTCGTCCTGTATTTAGGATTAATATCATAATCGACCTAAAGAGTCGAAGTTTGTGTGATACTCAAAAACCTACTTATTTCAGAGAAGTAATTAGGATTGCTATAAAAAAGTGTATTAAATATCAATAGATAAATGTATTCAATGAGTTGTTTAATATATGCTATTTTTAATAAGGAGAATTTGTGTTAGTATAATAATGACAAGTCTTATACTAAATTTAAATAGTATATCTCACCTATATTTAAATACTCTAATAATTTATTATGTTAACTTTTAGATACAAGTGAAATTAATGATTAAGTTTAGAGGTAATGTTTTTTTGGGTATAATAGTGACACTAAATTGTGAACCTATATTTTCATGCAAACGACCCAAATAAAATAACCGATCACTAGCTCATTTCTAGTGGCTAAATTAAATATAAAAATTGTATTCTGTATTAAAACAGGTTGATTGTCTCCCTTTTAATAATGTTTAATAGATTTTGTATATTTATTGTGTGAAACTACAATAAATAGATATTTGGCTACCGACAATAGAGAGGAAAAAAACTCGATTATCTCAGCTTATTTAAAATTTATTGTATTACAGAAATTCTCAAATATCTCAAATTCTCAAATATTTGATCGGTCGAAATTCCTTTTCGCATATAGTTTCTTAGATAGTGATATAGTTTCTTAGAACTTGTTTGGACGATATTTAAAATAAAATTAAAAATTATACATTATTTTTTTAGGAAAAAGATATTGTAACAATCAATTAGTGTTACTATAAATCAATTTCACCGTTAGATCGAATATGTTGATCCAATGGTTATATTTATTTCAATCTTTGTATGGTTATGATTAACCATATTTAATACTTTATATTTATTTTTACCTTTGTATGGTTATGATTTCTCATATTTAATGCTTTCACATTAAATATGGAGAATCTTATCCATACAAAGATTGAAATAAATATAACCATTGGATAAACATATTCGATCTAACGGTGAAATTGATTTATAGTAACATTGGTAGTAACACCAATTGGTTGTTACAATATCCTACACCATAAAATAAAATGTTAGTTTTGATAAAAAAATTATTGAGATATATTATACTTGCTACTATTTTTTCTTACTACCAAATTTGTTATCGTTCGATCAAAATTAAATCAACGGTTCTCATTTGACGTTATTTTGTAACTGTTGATTTAATTTTAATCCAATGATAACAAAATTAGTAGTAAAAGGTAGTAAGAAAAAAATGATCATTATTATAATATTTCCCTTTTGATTTTAAGATTCAGACAAGTTTTTTATGTTAAAAGTATTTTTTCATACAAATACAAAATATCTTTAATTTGTGAAAAAATACTTTTAAGTTTTAACTTAAAAAAATTTGTAAGTTAAAACTATTTAATATAAAAGGTGAAAATCATAATCATACAAAGGTAGAAATAAATATAAAGTATTAAATATGAAAAATTATAACCATACAAAGATGGAAATAAATATAATCGTAGGATCAACATAATCAATCTAACAGTAAATTGATTGGTAGTAATACTAATTGGTTGTTACAATATCATTTTCCTTATTTATATCAAAAATCATGTTTTGTAATTATTTTATAACAACCTTAAGGGGGCGTTTGGTTGAGGAAATGTTTTTGGAATAGTAGGGAAATGAGATAGATAGAGAAATGATTGGAAAGATAGATAAAGTGAGATAGCTAGAAAAATGTAAAAAAAAGTTGTTTGGTGGGGAAAAACTTTACTGGGAAAATTATGTAACTTTATGAAATCAACAGTGCATTAAAAGCCAGATAACCGGTTTTCCGAA